AGCTGAGATATCCCTCTGGAACTTTGGTGGCTCTCTGTGGGAGCCTGGCCAGCCCTTTCTCACATCCGCACTTCCTACCTGTCTCTATGCGGTACCCACTTTCCATCCTTGGTTATCAGGGGTGTCTCTAGCTAGTCTTCAGTTGATTTTTCAGGGTGGTTTTTCTGTATTTTAGTTGTATTTCCAGTTTGGTCCTGGGAGAGTGTCATTGTAGGTTCCATTTACTCCACCGCCATTTTGGAATTTCCCTTTCTTGGATTTTGATCTTAGAGGTGTATCCACCTTCTAGGCTAGAGTTTCTCCAAGCAGTAAAATTATGCTTCAGGAGAAACTTCTCTTGAGAAGTGTAGTTTTAATAAAGAAAGGATATCAAAGAAACAAGTGCATTGTGGTGACTTGCTTTCTGAAAGTGGATTATAGTATTCTCAAATTATATTCAGGCTGAAGGTAATAACTAAGATGGTTGACTGAATGTATCTGTTCAAATTGGGATGGTGCATAGGGAAGGAGAAAATGAAAGGGTGACAGAGAGGTTTAGGAAACTGCTTTTAGTCTAGGTTCACAGAATTTGTTTTCCTAGCACAGGTCAGCATGCGAAAAAGCAGCAGAGGAGGTGAGATAAGGGTGGTGTACTGAGTACTGAATACTGTGGAATCCCAGAGTTGGCTTGGAATAGCAGCAAACTATTGGTTAAATGGGAGACTCTTATTTATTCATTTATTTAGCAAATAGCTTAATGGCCCAATTTATATCAAACACTTTGCTAAGTAATAGGGGAAGAGATGAATTAAAAAAACACCAAGGGAAAAAAAATCCACCAAGGAATTTTTATTAATTGGGGAATCAGACATGTAAAATCATTAAGGGCCATTGTACACTTTTGCATCTTAGGGATAGGTCTGATGTGACTCCCTGGAAAAGTGATTTTGTTTTGTGTTAGATCTCTTCGGTGGGTGTTATGGCTACCATAACTATTGAAATGTGGGCAGTGTGAACACTCATACTCAATAGTGTTTGCATGGACCTAAATGTGTGCTGGCATAGAAACCCAGTGGCCAGGGGAAAATCTGTATTTGAAGAAGAGGTCCTCTGCACCTGCTGCCATGATCCCAATGTTTGAAATCTTTAAATACTTAGCTCAGTTAATTTATGTACATACAGATGTTTTTTTCCAAAGCTAAACCCACATTTGTGTGTCCTGGAATTCTAGGGGTTTTTGATCATCGATCACAGGCTCTTGAGCCTGTCTTCTCTTGACATTTGAGTGTAGATAGCATGAATAAGGATCTTCTAATGAGCATTTCTTGTCACATGGTCAAGAGCATGCATTTTAGGTGGGAACCCCATTTTTAGAGAAGTTAGTGAATTTCTTTTTTCATCCTTACTTTAATCCTCACCTTCAACTCTCCTGAGCCAAATTTTCTTTTCTAGTGGGAAAGCCAGTGAGAATAGGGGCAGCTGCAGCCCTTATGAAAAGGAAGCCTTCCCTAGGGAGATTAGCTTAAGCATCAATGAAAACATGGGGACTTTTCATGATATTTTAATAGTCTGGATATTTACACTTCATTGAATGCTTAGTAAGTCCAGGCATTGAGGAATTTATTTTAATATATATATATATATATATAAGCCTAAGTGAACATTCAACCATTCGATTGTTCAACCAGTAGCTATGATGCACACTGATCACCTGGGGCAGACGCTCTACCAGTAGGTTAGCTTGCTGCTGGGGTCCAGCCGATTGGAACTGGGTGAGACAGGCTGGACACACCCTGGAGCTCTCCCGTGGTCCCTTCCCGGCCTTGATCATGCACCAGTGGGGTCCCTTGGCCTGGCCTGTGCCCTCTCACAATCCGGGACCCCTTGGGGGATGTCAGAGAGCCGAAGGCCAGGCCTGGGAACCCCACTGGTGCACCAGGCCTCTAGTTTTTTAATAAAAGCCTACTTGCCTATATTTAATGCTTTTAAAAAGTTTTCCAGGATTCTTGAATCCTTCTGAGGTCGTTCTCCATTTTGGTTATTACATTAATTAAGCCCATATGACCTTTGGCATCTAGCTCCACTGTAACTGATGAAGACTATAGGCTCCAATATTTTTCTTTGGTAAGGTGTGGGACTAAATTAAATATACCCAATGGGTGTTTTTAAACATTTTTAAAATTTTATTTTTAATTACAGTCTATATCCAATATTATTTTGTGCTAGTTTCAGGTACACAGCAGAGTCTATTAGATCACTTGGTTATTTTACCAAAATATGGTTGAAGCAAGGGAAGAAGCAATTTAGGATTTATTTTCTGGGTCCTTTCAAGTCTTGTGTGGACTGATAGCCAAGATGGAATTTGCCTCTTAATGAGTCAACTCTAGGAACAATTCATGTGGTCCCTTAATTATATCATTAACCAGTGACTTTCTATTTGTGGGATAATTTCCCAAAGATTTACCAAGGAAGAACACATAACTATATTATGCCTAGGACTTTTGAGCTTGAGTCTTCAAGAATAAATTATTTGTATACTAGTATATATGTCATTTATATACTTTATAGCTGCAAATTGAAATGTAAGATAATTTTAGACATGTATAGTTTTCTGCTATTTTTTATATTAAATAAATTGAATGTATTCATTTCTAGATATATAAAGCATTTGGTGCAGATTAAAATGTTAACTGAATTACAAATATTGTATAATTACAATTATGAGGTACATAGAATAGAGACAGAGAAGAAGAGAGGTTACAAGGGCTTAGGGGTTAGGGGAAATGGGAGTTATTGTTTCATTGTTACAGTGTTTGTTGAGAGGATGAAAAAGTTTTAGATATAAATAGTGGTGATGGATACACAGCATTGTAAATGTATTTAATGCCACTGAATTGTACACTTAGAGATGGCTAAAATGTTAAATATATGTCTATTTTCCCACAATTCACAATTTTGTTTAACTTGTAAAATGATACATACATACACACACACACACACACACACACACACACACACACACACACACACTCTAATAAACAATCAGTTCTTTAACATTATAAAGTATTTTTCTTCTTAGAAGTGAGTGAAAAAAGTTTACTTTCAAACATGGAGCACTTAGCTAAATATATTACAAACATCTTATCCATAGGCTTCAATTAAGTTTGTCTTCCTTCCCTGATTTGTTACAGAATGTCAGGTTCAGTAGGGAACCAAAGGTAAATTAATTTTGTCCTGGGGATATTTTTGATCTTTAAATCTAAAATATCCATGTAGGACTAGATAGTTCTCTGATGCAGAAGGTAGTCTGGAAGTGAAATTCTGAAATTAATGTGCTTTTGGATAAAATTTCCTAGCCACTTTTGCAGTGTAGGCCTTGGGGAATTTGTAAATCCTCTAATTATAAAATTTCATTGAACTATAATTTAATGAGCATTTCCTTTTCCTGAAGGCAGATAAGAAGTAGCTGTGTGACTGCTGTGTGACTGTTTCCATGCAGTTGTTCTTAAATCACATTAGCAGGTCAGAGAAGAAACTAAAAATGTTAGTCACTATCCATTTGTGACTAAATAAAAAACAAAAACAAGGAAAGAAAAGAAAACTCCATAAAAAATAGCAAACACAAAATTGTTTTCTGAATGTGAAAATACAAATCTATCTCAAATTTATAGTCAACTGCCTATTTAGGAGTGAAACATTGAAGATAGTCATTTTAAAATAACCTCAGGATAAGGAAACCTGGTGTCACCCCTGTCTTTGAACATCATTCTGAAAGTGCAGACAGGTGGGAACTAAACAAGTCTATATATTGGAAAGGAATAGGGATGATATCATTGTCTGCCCTAAAAATCTAGGAGAGTCAACTGCACCTTGGAGAGTGAGTAGGAGTTTAGTTACAATTGGATATTGACTTAATATATAAAATTACATGTTTTTATTTACATGTGAACAATAAACTCTTATAAAACATAATGGAAATAAGATTACATTAATAATATAAAAAGCAATAATGTGGTGCCTCACATGTATAGTGGGCATGCAGATATTTTTGAATGAATAAAAATTAATCGATAATATTAACAAATTAATAATAAATTAATGAATAAAATATCAGCACCCATATTTAGAAGCTTTAGAAATCTTTAATAAATAGAAATACATAAAATATTCTTAGATAGGTAGACAGTATTAAGATGTCATTTCTTCACTAATTATAAATACAGTCTAATCCCAATGAAAAATGTCAGGATTTTGTGTGGGGTTGGGGAGGATAAAGAAATGTATTTAATACATATCCATGACAATTCTGGTTTTGTTTTTTTAAAAATATAATAGGCCAGGGAGACACTGAGATTACGAAGTTAGAGAGCAAACTTGATGTAGAACAAGCATCAATGCAATGGTATGGAAGGACCAGGGACTCAGTGGTTGCTGAGTCAGTTCTCGGTACGGGGATCTGACATTGATTTGAGTGCCTTCTGTTTGCTCGGCCTGAGCATACATTCACCTGTTCACCCTCCTGGCTCTTACAGAAGTGGGAGGAAGCATGGGGGTGGCAGGGTGCTGGTGGTGTCCTAGGATGGGGCACTGGCTCCCTCTTTGTTCTCACCTGACCGCAAGGGCTAGCACTTCAAGAATGATGTTCCAAAAGAAGGGTGACAACAACCTTCTCAGATATACTGACTGATAAACTGAATTCCAAAGGATGAGTAAATAGAAGAATTGACTGACTGTGTGTAAGGGGCAGTGATGGAACAGTAGGAAGGATGAGCATTTTGGGGAGAACTGCAGGCACAAGTGGCTGGTAGAGAGCCCAGGAGTGCGAATGGCAGGAGATGGCCCTCGATGGTGAGCAGGTGCCAGATCACGGGGGACCTGGAGTCCACACTACGGATCTCAACCTCTGTTTAAAGGGAGCAGGAAGCCATTCCGGGGTTTTAGGCAGCAGATGACTTGAATCTAACTCTGATGTGTGTCAGTGGGGTTGTAACAGAAGGATTAACTTGCTCTTCTGTTTGTAGCCCACAGCTCCTTGCATACAGGAGTTCCTCACCCTTCTGGCCGTGTGCCACACTGTTGTTCCCGAAAAGGATGGAGACAACATCATCTACCAGGCCTCCTCCCCAGGTGAGACCTCTTGGCCGATGTGCCCTGCTGTCCCCTTCTCTGGAGCCTTGGGTGTTTGCATTACTTGTGGGAGATGTGACGGTATATCCCACCCCACAAAGACCCCCTATTTGCCTCTGGCCTCACACAGATTATGGACTAAGGCTGTAAATGTTAAAACTATAGAAAACTGGTGCTGGGTTCTACTGACTGTAGTAACACTTTGACGGCAAGAGGAGGCCCCAGGCCATCTTGCATTTCCTAGCAGAAGTCATTAAACTAGACAGAGCTGCACATGAGGCCGGGCTTCTTTAACTGGTGTGGGTTTTGCTAATTTGAAAAATAGTACTTGCTAAGCAGAATTCTGGCATTACCAGCGCTTAGTCAATGTTTCGTCAACTCTTGATTGATAGATGAAGCTGCTTTGGTGAAAGGAGCTAAGAAACTGGGCTTCGTGTTCACAGGCAGGACACCGTACTCAGTCATCATAGAAGCCGTAAGTGACATGCCTGGGCACCTCTCTACCTTGTAGATCACCTACTCTTTTGAAGACTGTATATTTGAAATAGCATGTCTATTGTAAATATGGTAGCTAAATGTCTATTTTTTTTCTGTGAGAAAGTAAGCCTGTAGAAAAACCGAGGATGATATGTAATTTTATTAGCTCATTAATATTGTTTTTGCATTTGCAGTAATTTTTCTCTCTTAATGATGCTTCTTGACAAGTCAATACACAGATGTGGAATTATTTGTAGTAAAGCACTTAGAGTAATAGTTGGGAAACTGCTGCAGGGCCCACTTACTTTGAGAGCAGCTTCTAAAGGCCATTCCTGTGGCCTCGGTGCCCAGCTGTTCTTGCACAATGAGGCTCTTGCTCTATTGCTTCAGTCTCCTTGGCTGGGAGAGAAAGGAATTGGCACTGAGGCTCCTTTTTATATACAGGAGTTTTTATTTTCCCTTCAGCCCAGGGGTTGATTAATTTTATTTATATTTTTTTACTTTCCCTCTCAAGAAGACTGAGGGGAAAATTTGGTAGTAGGAACAAATTTAAATCAAGAATAAGATCACATAGGGATCCTTGAGAATGGGCAACAGGGGAAGTTGAAGGTTAGGACTGTTGAGGCACTGGTGTTTGTCATGGTGGCCAGGTGGCGGGGCTGCCTGTTACTCCAGTCTGGGTTGATGAGGGCCTGGAGAGAGCCACTGCCTCCTCTCTCCTCTGTCTTTCTCCGCCCCTCAATTTGGGGGTGACTCATTGATTGTTACAGTTTTTGGGTTTATTCATCCTTAAATCCCTAGGCCACTTCAATGCATTTGAAATTCACTTCTAACTTATATAATAACTTGATATTGTTCCTGACTTAGCAATAGTCCATTTTTTCTTTACTTATATTCAAAACCTATAAAATATTATAATGTACACAAGTGCCCATTTCTTGACATTTTCAGTTTCTTTTCTTATGGACTACAGAGATCAGCTTATATTTATTTTTACTTTATTTCATACAACAAAGGGAATTTTGCTTAGGGAAGTGTGCAATCATTAAAAGTGAAATTTTTTCATAGGAGTTTTTTATAAATGTAGTCTTCTTCCCCTTCATTTTGAGGAGACTTTTAGTTAGACCTTCATATGGGACATTCAGTTGTATGGGTGTTTACCTGCATTGTAACAGTGGGATTGGGAGGCCATGTGGAGGAGCTGGGCACAGTGGGAGAGACAAGGAGAGAGTGGATGCTTCTGCCCTGTCACAATGCTGGACAAATATGGGACATTAGAGAGCCAATTGATGTCATCACCGTGTCAGCTGATGAGGAAAAGTGGAGCGACACTCCTTGGTCATTTGATTAAATGATTAAGGCCATATTTCTGGAAGTAAAAAAAGACTATCTGATAGTGAGGTCCCTCGGCGTGGCCTGCGGGGATCAGGCTGAAACTGGCAGTCCAACGCCACCTGCTGCTCCCGCTCATCCCGGTCCCACTGTGCCTGCTGCCACTGCTGCCACTTGGTAGGCTTGCTGCCGCTCCACTGCGGTCTCCGGGCTGCGGTGGCCATCCCTGAGCCCTGCGTCTGGCACCCGTCGGTCAGCTGAGCAGCGCTCCCGCTATGGGAGTACACTGACCACCAGGAGGCAGCTCCTGTGTTGAGTGTCTGCCCCCTGGTGGTCAGTGTGCATCATAGCAACCGGTCGACCAATCGTCAGTTGTTTGGATACTTAGGCTTTTATATATATACTAGAGGCCTGGTGCACAAAAATTTGTGCACTTGGGGTGGGAGGGTCCCTCAGCCCGGCCTGTGCCCTCTCGCAGTCTGGGACTCCTAGGGCGATGTCCACCTGCTGGCTTAGGCCTGCTCCCCGGGGGATCATGCCTAAGCTGGCAGTCAGACATCCCTCTGGCAGCCCAGGAGCCCTCGGGGGATGTCCACTTGCCAGCAGGGAGCAGGCCTAAGCTGCAGTTGAACATCCTTAGCGCTGCTGAGGAGGCGGGAGAGCTCCCACCACCACCGCTGTACTGGTAGCCATCAGCCTGGCTTGTGGCTGAGCAGAGCTCCCACTGTGGGAGCACACTCACCACCAGGGGGCATTTCCTGCATTGAGTGTCTGTCCCCTGGTGGTCAGTGTGTGTCATAGTGACCAGTCATTCCCAGTCTTTCTGCTGTTAGGGTCAATTTGCATATTACCCTTTTATTATATAGGATATAGAATGATCTCTAAGGTATATTATGAGATGAATACAGCAGGTACACTGTATGCTATCGTTTGTAAAAAAAAAAATAAAGGAAAAAAATTATATGCATGTTATCTGTAAACACCTACACAACCTCTGGGCATAGGGGCACAAGAAAGTGGCCACAGCTTAGCCAGTGTGGCTCAGTGGTTGAGAGTTGACTCATGAACATGGAAATCACGGTTTAATTCCTGGTCTGGGCACATGCCAGGGTTGCAGGCTCAATCCCCAGTAGGGGGCATGCAGGAGGCAGCTGATCAATGATTCTCTCTCATCGTTGATGCTTCT